TAAATTTTGAGAGAGATTCTCCTTGCAGGTGGAGGGGGACAGGGGGGCGGGAGCTCGGGAGAACAAGGGGCGGGAGAGGGAGGGCAGCGGGTGAACAAGCAGCAGGAGAGGGAGGGAAGCGGGAGAACAAGGGGTGGGAAGCGGTATCTACATGAGGGCGGGAACCGGGAGCAGAAATAAATAAGGCGATAGTTTGTTGTAATTACTGGGTATTACTTAGTCATAAACACTTTTCTAGCAAGGTTTTGAAATAATTTCTAGTTAACATCTACCAATATGCTTAAAAAGATTTTCGGAGGCAAGAAAACGTAAATTTGTACCAGGGCTGGAAAAACAGCATTACTTCCGGTAAATTTGTGAATCCCTTCAAATTGATTACGTCGTTGGTCATGAGATAGCATGACATGTACAGTGTCTGGTAAGTTGTGCTGTCGAAAAGCTTCAACAAAGAAAGTGATTCAGGGTCATTCAGGTCAATTGGGACAAATGTCGTCAAAGACCATATTAATCGGTCTCAGTATTTTAAGTTGTGGCCACGAAAAATCCGTTCATGGAAGACCTTCTTGGGAGCACGCTCCTTATGAGTGCACCTCCCAAATTACTGAAGATTTTGCCTCGTGGTGCAAACTTGTTTCAAAGGAATGCCGCTTCACTGAGCGCGCCGGAGAGTGCGGAGTGGTCCACTTGTCGACGCAATTTTTTATTTTGGATAAGGCTAAGGCACTTCCCATTAGGATAGGGAGTCAAACAGCATGGCAAGACATCAGATTGGATTTTATAGACAACAAAGACAAAATGACAGCAAAGGATTACGAAATACACGGTGTGGTTTCCTGTGCTGTGGGCTGCAGCTGCCAAAAGTGCGGATTACATCTACTTTAATTCTCTCAAGCAAAACGGATCCCTACATTTTTCAACTTTTGAAGTAGGACGATTTAGGAGAGAAATCACCATTAGTTTGTTTGGTATTGGTGAAGCGTTGTCAAATAAATACAGAAAATTCAGTCAATGAGAACATTACACAACTCTTGCAAAGGAGTGCAACATAGTACAACCCAGCACAAATCAAACGTGTACTAACGTTGTAGATATCAAAAGATATCGACGATAAATGCAAAGAATGTAACCTCACGCACACAAGAGAGCAAGTGGTTTCTCAAAAATGACAAAGATGCGGTGGCCTGTACAAAAATATCAAATTTCATACATTGGTCCAAAAATTCTTGTGTGCTCTTGTGAAAGGTTAGCAAGCACGCCATTTTAATCAATTGCACGCCACTTTTTTTAATTGAAAAATTCCTTTATCGACAGAATTAAAAGTTTAAGTTTTGCGCCTAATATCGTTCCTTTCGTTCCCACACTAATGCCATACCTTTGTTTTGTTCGCAAACGTTCCGTGAAACTCATTGAAACGTCGTTGCTTGGGCGCAAAAGGAATGTCCCTTCAACATCAACAAGCACTGCACCCCCTAAGTCGTGCCAACCCTCTGACAGCTTTGAAGATGATGCACCGCCCTCAAAGCGGAAAAAAGACAGTAAAGTACGCCTTGGCCATAGACGGCATCGGCCAGAAACAAAAGCCAAAATCGATCTATTTAAGAAGATCCGTTCGTCAGAAAAATCTTTCTCAGAAATTAAAAACGATCGCCTGAGGAACATAAATTGTGGGAAGTATTTAAAACAGGCAAGTCTTTGTCAAATGTCTTAAAAGAACTTTAAAACCGTCCGGCAATTCTGATATACAATGGTAAACGGTATTTAATTTCTTTATCATCATCAAATATAGAGAAAATGTTTCAGTCGTCGGCTATTTCTGAATTAAAGTGCAAGTGTGGAGTATGCTCCAAGGTGGTTACTTTGAACAGAGTTTGCAGTCGCAGCTATTTCAGTAAGTACCCCCTTTTTCGGTACTCTGTTTCCTGGTTTGTATTTGCAAACTGATAAAAGTAAAAACTAATCTACTATTTTATTCCTATATATTTTAAGAGAAACACTACGCAGATTGCCGGCAAAACGACAAAATCACTCACGAGGAAAATTACAGATGTAATTGAAAGTACATTAAAAGAAAAAGAGGGGACGCGATCTAAAGAAAATGAGAGGGAGAAGGAAGAAGCGGTGATCAGCGACAACTGTGGCATTTTTAAACAAGAAGCACAGCTGTAAGTTTTAGAACAGAGGGCAAATTTAATGCGAAGGTTGCCTAATTCAACCGGAGAGATTATCACCGAGCCCCCAATAAAGTTGATGCTAACTTTTAAGAAGGAAGTAAAGTAGTTTTATAAAGCAGGAACTGAGGATTTTTCATATTACACTGTGCAAACTGTACACTGTTTTCTTTTGTCTCAATTAAAGATTAGTAAACTGTATCCAGTAGAAAACGTTGTTATTGCGAGACAAGGCCGAGGTCTTAGTATATGACTATACAGATTATTGATTTAAAGTTCTGGAGGTCTAAGCTCGAGATCAACCTTTTTTGTCTCAAAGCAAACAACAACATGAAAAACATTCTGCAGGTGCTGAGTGGTTTTCTCAAGGAGAAGGTGACCCATGGCAAACTTCAAGTCCTCAAATGACTGTTCCCTGGGCGACCAGTACAAGTAGGAGTGATGTATGGGAAATAGTGGAGTACTCTGATCTATTTTCTGTGCACTATAGCACAACGTCGCCAATGGAAGGTCACCCAGAATTCAGTTCATCGTCAATGGCGAGTCCAAACAGCTTTTCTGCACTCCCGACCGCATCTTTGTCAACAGAAGGCCCAGATGGATCGGACGACAGTAGAGACTCTGATAGCTGTTCAGACTACGAAGCGCATTCGAACAGTGGCAATGATGACGGTTCTGATTGGGAGGATGTCACGGAGGATGGCGGTGCTCACAGGTTTCAGTTTGCTGATCCAGTGGCCGAGATGCTAGACTGAGTTGTGCAAAGTGGGGTGCTTCCAAGAGAGCACATATTCTATAAGCTTGTTTCTGGCGCTTTGAAATACGTATCTATGACCATTCCAAAGGAGAGAAGTACCTGTGGGATCCGACTGTAGTTCGTTGGGCGGGAACGCTTCTTCGTCTTGGTAAAAGCCGAACCTTGAATTTTGTACGTGGACCTTGTGGTTTTAATCCTTGCAGGGAGGAAAGAAAACAGACGTCAAGCAACCGCACGGATTTCAACAGATTTGGAATTCCTTTGCCAAGCGAACAAACAGTGCGCCGCAACAAACCTGGCTATACTGCGGCAAGTGGCATTATTAGAAACCTCCTTTTGTCCATTTTGCGGATCGCCGATTTTCAAAATGCCTGTTGCTATGTCAATAGTTCTACCGTCAAAGCTATTGCGATTTCCTTGACGAGAGATGGTCTTAGTCTTAAACCTGGCCTCGAGTTTGATGAAAGAAGGAAGGTTCTAGTTGGTTCAACGAATAAAATTGATATTGATTTTCTAAGAAAGAATCCTGTACCCAATCCTTCGGAACTAAAACAAAGTATGATTAAAGATCCAGACATTTCAGTTGTTACAACTATTGATAGAAAGATAAGCCTTCCCGTCGGAGTCTATTACGATGCCGCAGATCAATCTGGAAAGGAAGTGCTGGCTGAAGTTGAAGAAATTGCTCGACATTTACAAACCTGTCTTGCTTGTCTCGAAGCCCAGTCAGAGTCGAGTGATTCTATCTTAATTTCAAACTGCGGCTGTACGTCTCGCTGTGAGTCTTGCCTTGTCCAAGGTGAAGTTTGTCAGAAACTGATGCAAAGGAAATGGCTTTCAAACCGTTGAACCGCCACTCCGCCCTTGTGACAAATGTTCGTCTAAAAGCAAAAAGTGCGTTAAGTTTGTAACAACCAGTTACTCATCAGACTGTGAGCAAAAAAACAAAACAGCTTTGGTAATTATGCAGTCAAGGAAGGAAGACAAAGATGAGCCTAGACGATCAAACTTACGCCTTACTGAGGGAACCCCAGATGCAGTTCATGTTGGAAAATGTCTGAAGGGAAGCCTGGCTAACTGGTGGCTTTTTATCGATGCTTGTAAACTTAGCTATGCTGCGTACTCTTCGCCAAGACTACAGGTCAGAGACCTGGCAAAAACTGAGACAAGCAATCAGACTAGAGTCTGTTAGACACCGGGATAAGATGTCCACCGAATCAGTTGTAGAAATCTGCAGTGTTGGAATCTGTATTGGAATCTGTCCAAAACCGATGCCATGATATTGTTTACACATTTGTACCAGAAAAACACCGACACACTGCTGACAACGAAGCTAAGACCTTCAAACTTCCAGTCGATCTGATGAAAGACGCAGAAGACATGA